CCGAAGGTGCAGCGGCGAACAGGCCACAGAGACGCTCGAGGCTGCAGTCCAGCCTTCGGAGGACAGGGCTCGGCACGCAGCCCAGCTCCAACCTCTAGGTGCGGCTGCCGGACAGTGTATACAGAGCCATCAAGACAGCAAGCAGAAAGCAAATGGCGGCTCCCGCGGAGTGGATTTTCGGCACAGAAACCACAGCCCCGCCAGCAATCCCAATCCACAAACTCTCCCTGTATAAAAAATATTCAAAAAAAAAAAAAAAGGCGGGGCGCACTGAGCTTTCTTTGCCTCGGGTACTTACAATCCACTGCTGATTACACATTCAGCTTCTCCGCCCGGAGCGAAGCGAAAGAGGAAGCAGATGGGAGCAAAGCGCCCGCGGCTCTGAGCAGCCAAGCGTCTCTTTTTCGATTTCTTTGTTCTTCCTGCTCCTTGGCAAAGTGGTCCACTACAGATTAACGGTGAAAGGAGCTTTAACAGACTGTGCGAAATCTCTATTAAAGCCGCTGCTTTGAGCACCACGCTCAGCACTTCAGCAACCCCCGTACGCAGCGGCCATCTTCAGCACCGACAATCCTTAGTTCTATTTTTTAGGAAGAGAATAGAAGTATCAAATCACTTGGTAGTTGGTAATTCAAGTATGCATGCATAAATTTTGGGTAACCACAAAAAAGTATGGAAATGGATCTTATGGGATTAGAATGAACAAACAGAGAAAAACTGATATCAATACAACATAGGTAGAAATGAAAGAAAAAAATCAGCATAAAAAATAAACATGAGATAATGTTTAAAGTTAAACAATTTCTTCCTTCGTCCTCCCTACCTTCCTTCTTTCCTCCTGCACTGGGTGGCGGGGAAGGGGTTTGAATCCATGGGTGTTCTGCCACTGAGCCACATCCCCAGCCGTTTTTATTTTTAATTTTGAGACAGGGTCTTACTGTATTGCCAGGCTGTATTCCTACTTGAGCCTCCCAAGTAGCTTTGGATTACAGGTATTCCCAGCTAGAAGTTAGCACAAATTCATTGTTGGAGATTAGGGTATTGACATGTGAATTTTAGAAGGGACAAAAATGTTCAGTTATAGCAAAAAGATGATGTTATTTCTGAGGTTTTCTCTTTTCACTTAGCTTTTATTAAAATGTACCTGTTTTTGATTTATCTAAAATGTATGTTACACTTCTAAAACTTATGAAAAATTCAGAATTATCTCAAGAATGTGAAGAAGGTCCAAAATTTTATTCTTACTTCACTGTTAAAACATATTATTGAGAAAAGATAATATTTTGATAAAGAAAAAGTATTTCATAAAATCAAATAGCCAAATCCAAAATGAAACCAAAGCAAAACCAAACATCACTTAGTAAACCAGGCTTATTTTTAGTAAATCATGAATAGTTGGGAAAGTCTTTAATCTGATAAAGAATATGTACCAGAAATTTATAGCTGATTCTTTTGGCAAAACACTTGGCACGTTTTCTTTAGAATTAGAAACAGAGCAAGAATATCATCTTTCTATATTTTTAGTATGTGCATTTGCCAAGGATTATATCATTGACTACACAAAAAAATCCAAAGATAATACATGTAAATTATTTCAACAAATAGAGTTTAGTGAAGCTACTTATGTGCTGTACTCAGTAACATTCCTGTACTCTAGCACCTATGAATAAATCTAGTCATTGAGCATGTAATGCTTCTATGGAGAAAAGTACAAATTTTTATTGAAATTTACAAAAGAGGACTTAAAAGGGAAGCTATACCTACATGAAAGGAAGGATTCATTAGTTTAAAACTGTTTTCCCCAGAACTGAAATACAGATATAATTTAATGAAAATCCCACAAGGTTATAGTGCATTTGAAAAGCTTTGATCTCAAAGTTGACATGTAAGAATCAAATTCCAAAAACAGTGTAGGAAATTTCGAAGATTTGAGCAGGGTATACTTACTCTATCAAATATCAAGATCCATTGTTAAACCGTATTCTTCATATTTATTTTGTATTCGTGTAAGGCAAGACAAATAGACTATTAGAATAAAGTAGGAAAAGATGTTTTACAAGATTTATAGTCAAGAAAGTATTGGTATTCAAGGGACTACAAATATTAAGGAAAAAGAATCAACCCTAAATGGGCAAAGGATGAATAGGCATTGATGAGAAGAAGGAGTAATTCAAATGGCTAATAAACATTTGAAAAGATATTCAACCTCATTACTAATAAGGGAAATGAAATTTGAAATGAAAATCAGCTACCATTTTATACTTTAAAATTTTTTACTTGTAAAAACATTTTCTGTAATATCTCTGCAATTTTCTGTACTACTAAAATATTTCAGAGTTTAAAAATGTTTACTTTTTGTTCTTGTAAGTACCTCACTGCATGAAGTAGCTAATTTTTCTGGTGTTAACAGCTGACCACAATAAAACTCCATTTTCTTCTCACCTTATAACCTTTTGGAAATAGAAATGACAGTTCATCTTGTTTTTTGCATCATCTGTTGACTTCAGCAAAGCTAAAGTTAGAAGTCTTTGTACTAACCTTCTCCCAAGGATAGCACAATGTCAGGAATGTACCAAAAAATTATTGGTGATAAAGTGTGGGGGTCTTTTTGTTTGTTTGTTTGTTTCGGTTTTTGTATTCTTCAGTGACTTCATTCCATTTTGAGGCAGTGAAACAGAATTGAATTTTGTTGAAATTTTTAAAATAAAAATTAACCTAATTTATATTCATAAGGTATTTTATTAAGCAGACAAAAAGGTAAATAAACTACCTAACCTAAATTTATTGAACATTAAATTTATTAAAATTATGCTTATTTTCTTGTAATTTTATTTCTTAAATATTTACTTTAGGAGACTATTTAGAATTTATTTTTGGCTTTAAAAGCTGATTCAATTTTTTAAGGCTATAATTTTAAAAATTCTAAGTCTTCTGTTCATTCAGCTAACTAAGAGATCTTAACAATCATTTTTAAGGGCCTTTAGAAAATGTTTGGTTCCATTTATAAAACTTGGCTACATTAAATATCTTTAAAAATTTAAACCTGCATTAATAATTTTATGTATTTTCTGTTTAAGTATTTCAAACTATATTTGTAAGTAGGATAAATCATGTTATCTTAAATTACTATTTGTAAATTTAAGAATTAAAATTATACAAATAAAATAATTTGTTACACCTTCTAAGTAAGACTGCTTGAATACACTGAGCCTCTGTTTTTTTCCTCACTCTTATTTATACCCCTCCTCCCATATTTGCTAGACTCCACTGGCTTTCCAGGCAATCTAAAAAGCTTCCAGTTCATGGTCAATTTGAGGATGTGTTGACAGACCACGGTGATGTCAGGGATGACTGGAAATAGCAAACAAGTCTAGTTTGTAAGTGGGCATTGCCAATTGAGGTGGTCTGATAGGAAGTAATGGAGATGCAACCACAGGGTGCACAGATACAGTCACTACTACCATCTAAGTCTGGGAGAATGGTGAAAGGAAGATTGATGGGGTACTAGGACCAGGGCTCAAAAAATAGAACAAAAGCCCAGTTATTGGGTCTGGGAGTTAAAATGAGCACATGGTTTTGAAAAAGGCAAATGATCTAAGAGTTATGATAAAAGGTCACCATTGTAACAGATAAGTCTGACTTGATGCTGAACTGATGAACTATTGGCACAGAGGTCTATGAATTCCCTTACATCGCCTAGGACCAAAATGAAACATTAGCTAAGAGCTAGTGTCAGATCTAGGAGTGGAATGCTATAAGGACAGGGATTATTCCATAACAATCCCTTTATGGACATCTGTTGCCTCTGGCACATACCACTCCATTGTTAAAATTATTCTGAAACATGTTGGAACCATTGTCAAAGTTTTAGAGCTGTGTAAGATCTAAATTATAAGTGGTATGTTCTTAGTGTATTTATTTGAAACACTGTATTTCCTAGTGGTTAGTTTATAAAAGTATGGTACAGATAATCATGGATTAAAGATTATTTCTGTGGGCTCACTTGGGATCAAACTAGTATAACTTTATTTGTGTGGGTGGGAATCTGTGTTTCATGTTAGCAGCACATGATATGTTTATAATTGCTCACAATATGTTTATAATTGAAGAATGCCTCTGTCACTCACCAAATTGACAACGCAGTTATAAAATAGATATGGAGATACACTTTTGTATTTATTTATTTATGCTGCAGTACTGGGGATCACACCCAGGACTTCATGCATGCTAGGTGGTGCTTTGCTACTAAGTTGAATTCCTATCCCTGGAGGTATATATTTTTTAATGTAAGGAAGATCCAAGATTGATAATTATTCATTCAGTAATTTGTTAAGACTAATTCACCTCCATTGATTTGAATTTGTGACTGTAAACTTAGAGCAGTCCAAAGTATTGCTATAATACCTATTTAATAAAATTTGATAAACCAATAACAAACAATATTTATGAAGTATATTAAATCCACTTAAAAAGCAAATTATTTCAATTTTTATTCTGTAATATGTTGTTCGTAAGTGAGTAAGGCTAAGTACAAATGAGCTTTATTTAGTTATTAAAGGAGATCCCGCAAACATCCTTTACTTTATAAAGTATATACTTTATACTTATATATTCTAAAAATTTTGTATGCTTCGAATCTCATAGATCCAGACCAATCTCCCATAATAGGTAGTAAATACTAAAGTTGTGTGTGTTTGTACACGTGCACCCGTGTGCATTTAAAGATGTTTGAGAAGCCTAATGCGGTGGCGCATGCCTGTAATCCCAGAGGCTCAGGAGGCTGAGACAGGAGGATTGAGAGTTCAAAGCCAGCCTCAGCAATGGCAAGACACTAAGCAACTCAGTGAGACCCTGTCTCTAAATAAAATACAAAATAGGGCTGGAGATGTGGCTCAGTGGTCGAGTGTCCCTGAGTTCAATCCTCAGTACCCTCCAAAAAAGATATTCGAGAATCACAGAAAACTTTGACTTTATCATTCCATTCCCCCATTCTCTGCCAGGTTCTTACCAAGCCTTGCTAGGTCAGCTTTAGAGAAAAATCTGGCAGATGCTGCAATAGAAATAACTACCAATGACAATCTGGAACCAGACCTGGAGGATTACAAATGTAAGTATTTAATTTGTTTTTGTTTTAAGTGAAAAAATAATTATCAAACATTTGATGCTATTATTTTAATTTCAATATAAATGTTTTTAATGCATTTTGTTTATGTACTGAGTTGAAGAATCTGTTTTTTAGAAATGTGAATGCTATTTATAAGTTAAACCTTAGAATATTTACTGCATTGCAGTATATTCTTGATGGTTCTCCCTGGCCTTCAAGAGTCACAGTTGATACTAACATATTAAAGGCTCTGAGAATCCATTTTGTAATTAACTTGTATAATTTTGACAATATTTTTTTCCAAATATGTTTCACGATATTATCTAAAATTCTGCTTTCTTTGCACAACACTTAAATATTGAGGACCACTATGGGACATGTTTGGGCAACTTTTTTAGCTTGATTCAGACTAAACTAATATTCAGAATAACATCTTATGCCTTCGTACTCCTTCCATTTCCACCTGTTGTTTGTGCTGCTTTTTTTTCTGAGTAGCCATAAGTATAAATTTGAATTTTGAGGAGGATTATTCATAAAAGTTTCCTATTCTTCAGTTAGAGCACAGCGAAAGTTTCCCCATTTTTAAATGTAATTACCTGTTTTTTTTAAATTTTATTTTTAATTTTTTCATTGTAGTTGGACACAGTACCTTGATTTTATTTATTTATTTTTATGTGGTGCTGAGGATCCAACCCAGGCCCTCATCCGTGCTAAATGAGCGCTCTACTGCTGAGCCACAACCCCAGCCCCTGTAATTAACTGTTTTATCAAAACTTTTAATGTATGACCATTTTCTAAAATAGACTACTGTGATTCTCTTTATAGTAGACTTTTTTTTTTTTTTTTTTTTTTTTTTTTTTAATAATGGAGGTTACCCTGAACCAAGAATTTGGTATTAAGAAAATTAGATGACGTTTTTGGACTCAGATTATAAATTTAATATACTGATAGATCTGAATAGAAATTCAGATCTGAATAGAAACTCAAAAGAGACAGAATAACTCTGGGCCTTGAAGATTCAGAGTGTTATTTGATTAAATCTATTGATATATCCAAAGAAAGACGGTCATTTCAGACAGGCCCTTGTTAGCAGTGACGTGACCCTCTTGTAGAATATAAGCGACCTAAGTGATGAGACTTTTCAAACTGACTAATACCATTCATTTTTAAAATCATCTGTCCTATAGAGAATTCATTAATTTACTTTCCTTGTTAGAGTCCATGCTTACCAAATAACCTTCTTGAGAACATGGCTTTCCATGAAGTTCCCACTCCAAATAATAAGGTTTTATGGCAAACAGTGTATTATAGTTGATATGAAAGTTGCAGTTTCCATTGTGATGTAATATTTTGCAATTTTATTTTCTTAGTCAGAATGTGTTTAATATTCTCCTGAAAGTTAGATTTACCCTCAGTTCTGATTATAAAATTAATTTTGAGCCTACTAGATTTTGAGGAACTTCATAAATTTACCAAAATAATGTCATCCTGTGAAATTACTTACAAGATAGCTAGCCAGCTTTCTCCCAGAAATGTACTAGCAGCATCATTCTCTGAGTTCATATCCCCTTTCTGCTTGTCAACATTGGTTGTGTAAATTCAGTTGTCCTAAAGTTAATGGACATGTTCCATAAACTAAATTGTAGATGCTATCAGATGCTGTTTGAACCTGAAATTACAAGTGTCATCTCAGCATACAAGTATAAGAGTTGATTCACTGCCATATTCTGCCTCTGTCCCTTTATAGTTTTATATTGGGTCTATTTCAAAGTCTGGTGGTAGTAAATAAATACTAAATACTTAGTGTGATGGCTCTTGGCTTTCCTTCCCTGTAGAACTTTTGAAAAAGGAAAATGGTAAAGATCTGCTGTGCTCTGGCAAATGTGTCAATGAGCTTGAATATCTGATTACTACAGGGAATATACAAGATAGGTTCCTGACTTCAAGAAATTTATTATTATTAAATTCCTGTATTTAAAGATCTCTTTAAAGCAAAAAGAGAACAATACAATAAAAGTTATTACTGAATAACTGTATGACAAAGGTTCCCAGTTCCTACTTCAAATAAGAATATTTCTGATACTATTCTATCAGAATCACCTGGATATTTATTTGAAAATATAGATCTTCTGGACTATTCCTGAAAATAATAGTTCAAGAGGTCCAAGGGTTTGGTTCATCTGTATTTTTTACTAGACCTCTCAGGGATTTTCTTGTGGCGTTTTTCATTAGGTGCTTCCGAAAGATGATATTCGGGATACTTAAAACCTTTTGAATGTGTACTTGGCTTATGTGTATATTATAATCCTGACCAGATAAATTTATGAATGTGGCTTGGCTATGTTCTGGGTTGTTTTTTTATTTCTCAATTTTATCTATATACTATTTGCTAAATTTATTGCTTTAAAATTATTACATTTTAGAACATTATAAGCTGCATATAGAACTGTAGTGTTTAATTACCATCTTCAAGCTTATTTCTTTAGATGTTAAATTAAAATCCCTGAAGAACTCAAGGTGTTACAGAAGCTATCCTACATTTTATGTTGGGTGGATTTATCATCTTTGGATATTATTTGTAGGATGTAGTTATGACTAATTCTCTGTCTTGTGTAAAACATTCAGGTGAAGTGGTATCTGGATCACTGAGGATTGGTACTATTAGTGCACCAATATATAATACCCATGAGAAAATGAAAGTGCCTGATGTTCTCTTCTATGACAACATTCAGGTAAGAGCATCACTTTATTTACTTACAAATCACCACTTATTGTGGTAGTTAGCTCTGAGAAATGATACTTATGTTTAATTATCTATGTAATTTTCTAAATTAAATGCAGATGATGCAATATGACGTGTTGAAACATCTTTTATTAAAGTATTAAAAACTTTAAAATTCTTTTTTTTCTCCTCTGGTGAGATTTTCTTTTCTTTTTTCTTTATTGATTTTTTAAAAAAATAAATGACAGCGGAATGCATTACAATTCTTATTACACTTATACAGCACAATGTTTCACATCTCTGGTTGTATATAAAGTATGTTGACACCTATTCGTGTCTTCATACATGTACTTTGGATAATGATGTCTATCACACATTTCACCATCCTTGCTAATCCCCTGCCCCCTGCCTTTCCCTCCTACCCCTCTGCCCTATCTAGAATTCATCTATTCCTCCCATGTTCCCCCTTCCAAAGGTACTTGAAAATTGGAGGAGTTGCTGTTATCATTAGGGTTATAAATTTCATATGCACACATAAACAAATATTGTATGGCTGTACTTCAGGTTGATAAAGTAAACCCATTATTAAATTAAAAACAAACAGAACTTCTCATTCTCTTTTTTTTTTCTTCTTAGTGAAATCATTTCAGTAATTCAAAGAAAGTGTATCTTATACATTCTACAATTCCAGTATTTTTCTTTTTCTTTTTTTTTAAGGGAGTATGATGGAGAATTTTCATCTTACAAACTAACCAATAATTATGGACTTTCCACTAAGATTCAGATATAAGTTTATACCTAGAAAGCCATATTGTAGATATTCAATTCAATTAGATTATTTTCAGGGAAAATACTCTGAATATAACAGTTTTCTTTTCCAAGTTTTCCATGAAGTGGTCCTTCGGTCCTTCCTGCCAGCCTTTTCAATTTTGTGTGTGTGTGTGTGTACTGGGATTGGACCTAGGGACACTCTACCACCAAACTACATCTCTACCGCTTTTTATTTTTTATTTTGAGACAGGGTCTTCCTAAGTTCCTGAGGCTAGCCTTGAATTTGTAATACTGCTGCCTCAGCTTCCCGAGTTGCTAAAATTATAAGTGTATGGCTCTATGCTAGGCTATGTATGTCTTTTATAATGAAAAAGTACTTAAAATTTTCTATAATACTTCATTATTATTCTGCATGTAAATAGTACATTTAATTTACAAATTATGTTAGAACTTCTTACTATTTTTGCTATGTTAAGGCATTAGCGAAATTGAAGTTAAATTTATTTTTTAATCTGACATTCTACAATTCTGTTTTTTGTTCAAGTATCATAATTTAAATCACTAAATTATAATAACAATATAGAAGGTATCCAGGCAAATTCTTCTTTCTTAATAAAAATCCTGGCTTAAAATTTTGAAATCTGTCCAAGCTACACTAATTATTTTTGGCATAGCAAAGGCATAACCCTGATTTGATTTTAATTATTAAGAATCAGTTAATTAATGAAGATTTTATTTTTCTTCAGAAACATTAGTGTTCTTGCAGAATCAGTACACAAATAAACAGAAAATTAAATTGTAAGACAGAGGAGGGAAAAAACTCTTGCCTAATAAATAAAGACAAAAACTTGATTAGAAAGAAAATATACTATTTCTAAAAATTGATGGTATCACCCTCTGTCCATGTAATGAACAAAGAAAACAAGAAATCAGGGTACTGTTATAAGTAACATTTAATTGAAAAGCTCTACAGCAGCAAGGGTTGAAAAGATTTCAGAGTGTATAAGAATATAGGAAATTCAGTAGGAAAGAGGACCATTGTGCTCTTGAACATAGTGTCTGTTGCCAAGGTGTTTATGATATAGACATGGAGGGCTGCAGGGCTGCTGTGAACTTTACACAGAGCCCCTGAGGGACTTCTTGTAACCTGTCTCCAAATGTACCTCCTCCTCTAAAAGCATTATGAATTAACCACTAATGAAAAAGTTTTAGCTGTACCAATTCTAGGGACAGTGGCTTGATTAAATTTGCTTTTGCTATGTATTACTGATTCTGTTTTTGCTGCACTTCAGCTTTGAAGCAGTATGCTTCAGAGTCTTTTGCAGATTGAAATACCATCTTGTTTTATGCCCTGTTGTCTCTTTACCACATTGCATTGAGAATGGTTTTGAAAATGTGTTCTTATATATCATAGGGCGAAGCCCTGTGTTTTCTTTATTTTGTATCTCCAGCAAATAACAAAGTGCCTGGTGCAGAGCAATTGCTAAGTATATAAGTGGTGAGGGGATTAATAAAAGGATGAATAAGATTCTGAGTGTTCATGCTAAGGAATATTTTTTTCATCCAGCCATCATTAAGAAATATTAGACTTGTATCAGTAAGGAAGAGAGATTTGAGGGAAGAAAAATTAATAGTCTCTTAATAAGCTTTAGATCTGAAAAAATATCGTAAATATTTATTGTGGGTCAGGCCTTGTCCTAAGATCTTGAGATAAAGAGATTAAAATAGTCACGTGAGCAAATGCATCTTTGGAGCTCAAATTGTTCTTAATCTAATGGAAAAACAGGCAAATACACATGGTTACTTCACAGTGTGATGAAAGTATATACAAGTTATTGTGCTTACCTTTGTGAGGTGATCATCCCTGATGATAAAGATCATAGAAAATTCATTAACAAGACAAAGCTGGGCAAGTCTCTCAGAGACTACCATTTGTAGAGACTTGCTTATACGAAAGAGTAGCTCATTTATGGTACCCAATGTAATTGTCACTAGCACAGAGCTGAGATTGCAAATAGAAAAGTTTAAGAGATGAGCCTGATAAGTTAGGAAAGGATCAGATCATCTGAGCTTCTCAAATTAAGGAGCTGGGATTTCTTTCATTGGTTTCCTCACCGATGAAAGACTTTAAGCACATTTGCTAACTTTGCATTCACTCTTGAATGTTGTCTAAGAGTTAGGACCAAGGCAAAGAGAAACTAGTTTAGAGTTATTCTAACATTCTGGGTGAAAGTTAAGAAGGATCTGAAATGAGGTAGTGAGAGTGGGGACAGAGTAGAGTGGACACCTCACAGGACTATTTAGAAGGTAGAGTCCTTGGAACTTTGTGTTTGTTTAAAACAAAGATTCTGCCTCAGGGAGCACACAGTGTGGTGGAAAAGTAAACTGAAGAGTAAGTAGAAAATTATTCTAGATTCTTCCCATCCCTGGAACATTGTGTGAAAGAAGGAGAGTGGTAGGGGATGAACCTGAGATTAAATCAGAAACATGAGAAGTACCTTTGTTTCTAAATATTGAGTCACTTAAAGAGTTTTGAAAAAATGAATTGGCAAGATTTTGAACAAAGAAGTGATTGTATGAGAATTATAGAGAACACATTGACTCAGGGAAAGGATGAAGTTTCAAAAGCTAAATTAGCTTAAAAATTATATCTACCTACCTGTCTATGTATATAGGCCAGAGATAATAATACCCTAAATTCAAACTGTGGTAATAGTAAGGAAATAATGAATACCGTTGATCTTTTTTTTGGGAGTTGGTGGTTTTGGATTTTTTTTTGATCTTGATAAAAGAGAAGCAATGTGGGCAGTGTGATCATGATTATGATAAACATTTGATCAGGCAATAGAAAATGATGCTATTAATTATGAAAAGGAAGAATGAAGTTATTGAAGAGAATGTAACAAGCCAAGTTTTGAATTTGAGTATGCTGAATTTAGGAGCCTGGGCAATAATCAGGGGGTGTTATTATTAGTCATCACTGAGAAATCTTGATGTTTGAAGATCAGGGTTAGCTGCAGCCATGAGATGGATTGAGAGAATTTAGGTAGTGTGAAGTCAGAGGTAGCTCTTCTAGCACTGATGTGTGGGTACCAACTCTGCACATAGCCCTCACTTGGATCTTAGGAGGGTGACTGTGTACAGATAGCATGACGTGTTCTACCCTATACTGAGACCCCAAAGAAAGCAAGTAAAAGGTAATGGAGAGAACAAACAAAGGAACCAGGGGAAAATCATATGGAAGGAATTGCTACAACAAGATGATCTAATCCAAAAGACTATGGAGAAAAATTATTAAAGGCGGGGAAAAAATCAGGAGAGAAAGACAACTCACTGAAAGCGTAGACTTAAGAAATCATCTGCAGTGCCAAGTAGAAAAGAAGGCAAGACAAGAATTATGTTGGTCATGACCTTAGCCTTTGTTAGTGTTTGTGGATTTGAATAATCTAGTTAAATGTAATGAGCATATGAAGAAGGAAGATTTAGAATAAACAATACAGATAAGAATACAAATATAGTTTGCATTCATTTTCATTATTATGGAGCTATAAAGGTGCTCCTTGCAACTTTTCTATCCATTCCTCATGCAGATTAGCCTATTTATTTCAGGAAGAATTTAGTGTTTTATGGAAATTGGTATTGACTTTTCATCTGAATTAAAATGTAAAGATCTCTGGCATATATTACCACAGAACTGAGTTTTAAATTATTTTCTAGGACTCACTTTTATAGAGAAATCATACATCTCAGTTTATCTTAGTTTGCTTTTAAGACAGTCTCAATTTAGGCTGGGAATGTAGTTCAGTTGCATAGTGCTTGCCTAGCATACACAAGGCCACTGAATTCAATCCTTAACACCACACACACACACACAAAAGATAGTTTGTACCTATTGTGACCCAGCATAATTATTAACAATGGCTGGCTCTTTATTTTAAAAATGTGCCAGAATGATAATAAGTAAATATGCTCATTTTATTTCATGCCTTGTTAAAACTTTAGCTCCCTAATGTATCTAATTTTAAAAAACAAAAACTGATAAGAACAGATATTACACTTGATCTTAGCCAAAAGGCTGAGAGGCAAAGTTGGGTACGATCTACATACTGTGGGGTCGGGCTCCAAATTCCTCAATAGGACACCCATAGCACAAAAGTTAATAACTAGAATCAACAAATGGGACTTACTCAAACTAAAAAGTTTTTTCTCAGCAAAAGAAACAATAAGAGAGGTAAATAGGGAGCCTACATCCTGGGAACAAATCTTTACTCCTCACACTTCAGATAGAGCCCTAATATCTAGAGTATACAAAGAACTCAAAAAATTAGACAATAAGATAACAAATAACCCAATCAACAAATGGGCCAAGGACCTGAACAGACACTTCTCAGAGGAGGACATACAATCAATCAACAAGTACATGAAAAAATGCTCACCATCTCTAGCAGTCAGAGAAATGCAAATCAAAACCACCCTAAGATACCATCTCACTCCAGTTAGATTGGCAGCCATTATGAAGTCAAACAACAACAAGTGCTGGCTAGGATGTGGGGAAAAGGTTACACTTGTACATTGCTGGTGGGACTGCAGATTGGTGCAGCCAATTTGGAAAGCAGTATGGAGATTTCTTGGAAAGCTGGGAACGGAACCACCATTTGACCCAGCTATTCCCCTTCTCGGTCTATTCCCTAAAGACCTAAAAAGAGCATGCTACAGGGACACTGCTACATCGATGTTCATAGCAGCACAGTTCACAATAGCAAGACTGTGGAACCAACCTAGATGCCCTTCAATAGACGAATGGATAAAAAAAAATGTGGCATTTATACACAATGGAGTATTACTCTGCATTAAAAAATGACAAAATCATAGAATTTGCAGGGAAATGGATGGCATTAGAGCAGATTATGCTAAGTGAAGCTAGCCAATCCCTAAAAAACAAATGCCAAATGTCTTCTTTGATATAAGGAGAGTAACTAAGAACAGAGTAGGGACGAAGAGCATGAGAAGAAGATTAACATTAAACTGGGATGAGAGGTGGGAGGGAAAGGGAGAGAGAAGGGAAATTGCATGGAAATGGAAGGAGACCCTCAGGGTTATACAAAATTTCATACAAGAGGAAGTGAGGGGAAAGGGGAAAATAATACAAGGGGGAGAAATGAATGACAGTAGAGGGGGTAGAGAGAGAAGAGGGGTGGGGAGGGGAGGGGATGGGGGATAGTAGAGGATAGGAAAGGCAGCAGAATACAACAGACACTAGTATGGCAATATGTAAATCAATGGATGTGTAACTGATGTGATTCTGCAATTTGTATACGGGGTAAAAATGGGAGTTCATAACCCACTTGAATCAAAGTGTGAAATATTATATATCAAGAACTATGTAATGTTTTGAACAACCAACAATAAAAAAATTAAATAAATAAATAAATAAAAAACAAAAACTATCAAGATAAATATAAGGGGCTACTCATTTGTTCTCAAGGTAGGAAAATGCTTTCTTAGTTTTCCTTTCTAAGAAACAGACAGTAAACTAAACAGACAGTAAACTAAATTTGATAAATGAAAGGAAAATTTCCTGGCTCTCTAAAAACTAACTTAAAAAAAGAAAAGCAATTGACATACCAGATAAATATCTATAGATATATAAAATGTTAATATAAAAGGTTAATACAAAAGTTTAATTTGTCTTTTTTAAAAATAGGGAACTTCAATAAGTTTAGTACTTATGAGGCTGTTATTTGATTTGATACAGAAAACCAAGAGAAAGTAATAGGGATATTAACTGTGCTAGGATGTAGTTCTTTTCCTGACCCCCAATGAGCTTTTATAACCTACTTATAGGTGGCCTATTTTTTAAGATACAAAAGAGAAATGTAACTTTCTCTGTAGCTATTGTGAACAACCTTAATCTTGTTCTTTTATTATATTGTGTCATAATTCAAATAAAAAACTGTGGAAGTTGAATAATATATTTAATTTCAAAGCTATATATAGTTTTGAAGGTAATGGTTAAGTTGATGTCAGTCTAAAAAGTTCCATAAAAATTGCTAATTATTTTTGGAAGCCATTATATATTTACATTAGCAAGTGTCAATTTAAATTTATATTAAATTTCAAGACAATGCTACGTAGTTTAAATAAAAATACTTGAATTATAAAAACAACTTGAACTGGTTAATTGGTTGTACTTGCTCTAATGGGATGTTTTAAGTTTTCAGTATCAGTGACCCAATTGGTTATGTAGTTTACTTATATCTAACTCATTAGTTTTGTTTTCTTAAAAGTTAAATTACTTGAGTATTCTATCATAAAGGATGTCTTAACTTTCAAGAAGATATCTATATAGTTAACTTAAAACACATTTAACCTATCTGTGGTCCTTTTTTTCCTCCAGCACATGATAGTGATGGAAGACATGCTCAAAGACTTTCTCCTTGGAGAACACTTATTATTGGTTGGTAACCAGGTAAGTTATGGGTGAAACCCAAGCTCTAACGAGTAAATGACAGTAATAGTTTCAAAGCAGTAATTTTTTTTTTGTTGTTGGAATAAGTTTTTGAAATTGCTCCCTTTCTCTCCCAGTAAAATGACTCGTTTAATAAAAAGGTGAATGTCTACCTTAGACTTAACCTTAGACTTACTTCAAGGCTTAAATCAGACCCCATTCTACTCTACAAGTGGGCACTCTTCTTGCTCATATCTGTTACTCCAACCCTGCTCACCGTCACCTATCTCCTGGATTAAGGCAATAATTTCCCACCAAATACACTATAAACTGTCTTCACTCTGCAATCAGATTGATACTTGTACAACTAAAATGTGATTAAGTTTCTCTTTTGTGCTTGAATCGACTCTCCATTGCCCTCAGGTATGGTCCTAAGTCTCTAGTATGCTTGACAGGCCTGTAGAATCCAGCCTCTGCCCACCTATCTGGTCCAAACTTTGGCTCTTCTTTTCTCTGGATGGCAGCTTGAGCTACTCAGAACTTCCACCAGTTTCTTATTTCCTTTCTGGTCCTTAGTGCATGTTTTTTTTTTTTTTTTTCCCCCACATTGAACACTCCCTGTCTCTTTATATCATGCCCTGCCCTAACTCCTAGGAGGGAGGTTTTCCCTTCTCCCTAGCTCAGTTAAGTTCTCCTGACCTCCTCCCTCTGTCCCCTTCATCACACAAGTTATATGGTATTGTATTCACCCATGAATGACTCTTCCCAACTTGTCTGGAAGCTCTTGGAGGGCAGAGACCTTGTTTGTCTTATTCATCTCGGTCCTTGGTTCCTAGCCCAGTACTGCTATAGATATTCAATATATGTTTATGGAGGAAATGAATAGATATTCTGTAGTTAGAGGGTGCTGATAATTTTCCTTAGTTGAATTATCGTACCCACAGTAAGTGACACTTTGGGTCTCATTTTTAATTAGTCTTAAATTAATGGTGACAAGCTTTCAGAAGTTTGTCCTTTATTTTTTTCTTTTTTGTACTTATAAAAATAGTACATATTCTTAATATATTTAGCCCCTCAAACATACAATTTTAAAGTGCTGTTTAAAAATAAAAATGGGCCAAATGAGTGTTTTACTGGCTGAGGCATAGGCTTGAGGTTTAGCTGGCTAGAGATCCAATAGCAGTGTTCCTACATAACGGTGTGTGACTTTGGGAAATTGCTTATCTTAGACTATTTCCTGATGTCTAACCTGGGAATAAAAGTAGTTTGTATTCTACTGGGCTAATGTAAGGATAACATGATATAATGCATGGAAAGTACCTCACACTGTGCTCTATTCTTCCAACTAAAAATAAAATCACTGTAAAATTTAAAAAGTACTTTAATGTATCTTGTTTCATGTTTTCTAAACGAGAATTAAAAAGTAGAACAATAAATTATTCGTGGCAGTTTTTTCCATAAAAGCCCCACCTTCTTTTCTTTCCTGAAAAATCATTTTTCTGTATACCTGAGGTGAAAGGATGAGGATCAGTTGACTGTATTTGTTCCTTGATGTTGAAAACCATAAGACAAGTTGTCATCTCACTTTGAAAAACAGTGAGTCTGTGGACTTTTAAGTCTTATATAGCCCAGAGTGCTTCACAGACTTTTTGTCAATTTAACCATGGCACTCAGTGTTTCCTTTTCAAAACTTCTTCCATCACATGAATGTCCTCAACACAGAAACTGATGGCCTCTCACCAGCAGCAGACAAGCCTATAGAGGAGAGTAGACTGGGAACATACCGAGCTGGGCTCAAGGGGCAACTTTCCTAAGTAGCAGGCTTGGAAAAAGAAGGTCCTTGGAGTTCAAGGCATGGGGTCCAGGTGTTTTTGAAGCATTCATTGATATTGATGTGCTAAGGTTTGTTGAGTGGAATGCAGTTTCTCAGCTAAGATAGTTTTTACTATTAAGCTATTAATAGAATCAGGATTTCAGGACAATCATTTACATTAATGTCAATGTTAGAGTCTTACTAGTAACCAGAGATGGGGAGCATATTCTAACCTCTGGAGAAATGAGGGGAGCTATGCAGGGTAAGGGGTAAGATGGAGTGGAGGTTTGCTTCTGCTTTATGAGAACGTAAAAAGAATATGTGAAACTATTTTGAAATTATTCTGGAGTGCTATACTAATATTTGTGTAAAATTTGCCTTGCCTCCTCTCATCTGTTTCAAGTCCCAAGGAAGGGAATGACGCTAGAACAAGGGCTAGGCAACAGGGTAGGTGTGGTGTAGGGAAGAGCAGCTACAGTTCTATGGGCATGTGGTTAGTCCCTAGTATCTGTGAGGATGGATGATTCAAACCTGTCTAGGGTTGGTTCAGGAACCAGCTGTACAGGGTTGAAGATACTCAGGGGCAAGGCAGGAGGTATAGGGTATCACAAAATTGTCAGTCCCATCACATTTTACATCTTGCTTTCTTATATCCCTGTTCTACCACCCTCCACTTAAGAGAAAGAAGAATTAACAAAGGGAGATTATGTTCATTAAAAGTGTGCTATGTGTCATTGGCCTTTTTCATATTGGAAGGCATTTCTCTTCTTTCATTATACACCTCTGAGATTGTCAGTGTTCTATTGTAGTACAAATGTTAAAGGAAGTATTAGGTGTGCAAGTAATTTCTGCTACCTGTGTCCATTAAATTGTTTTAATGAAAAAGTCTAACTCTCTTAGACTGCCATTTGATACCCTCTGATGTCTGATCTCACTGTTTTCTGCCTACCATCTCATTTCTCCCCTCAAGCTCTTGTTCTCAGAGAAATTAAATGGTCTGTGTTCCAAATAAACTTTTTTATCAGTGTTATATTCCAGCCTATGTTTGCCACCATACTGTCTTCTTTCCTCCATCCTTGCTTATTCAAATGCTTTCCAACTCAGAGTGGCAACGTAGTATAATAGGAATGAAGTAAACTGGGAATCTGAAGGCCTACTTCTGTGTTCAGGTTTTTAAACTGTGTGAATGATATGGAGAAAATTCCTAATCTCCTAAATGGGCTTTTTCTTTCCTACCTCCCTCCCTGGCCCCCCTCTCATATCCATAAAATAATGATTGGAAATGGATGTTTTCTAAGGTTGCTCATAGCTCTAATATTCTATAATAGTGGGTCAATATAGATTTCCTTGATTTATGCATTTGCCTGTTCTGTCTCTACTGAAAAGAATGAGCCCCTCAAGAAGAGTCTTCATTAATTTTGCTTTCTTCCCAATGCCTTGTATATAGTAGATGTTAAATAAACACTAGATTTTAGAGGACTATAATAATGTAAATTCCTAATGAGTAGGTAAAATGATTTAGAAATAATATGAATTTTAAATTTCAACTTGTATTATTTTTAGGAAATTCTGAAAAAGATTTACTGTATTTTTTCTTCTGTAATCTTGCAGCTGCTGAATTAAGGATACAAATGGATTAGATATAATGTAAGAACTCTTCTTTGAAGAGAGTAAATAGGGGCTGGGGATGTGGCTCAAGCGGTAGCGCGCTCGCCTGGCATGCGTGCGACCTGGGTTCAATCCTCAGCACCACATACAAACTACGATGTTGTATCCGCCAAAAACTAAAAAATAAAATATTAAAAAAAAAGAGAGTAAATAGTTAAATGGCCCCTCAACTAGGTATGATTCCATGATAGGATTAGAGACTGGCAGTGTTATCACTAGAATTGACTAATAAAAACTTATTATTTTAAAATTTCATAATAATTAGCTGAGTAGTACTAAGAAAATTAGATGAGGTATAACTACCTAGGCTTACATTTTACAGGTTGGGGAATGGAAATTATATTCATTTATTCAGATTGTCTTCAAAATCTAAATAATACATTCATATACTTTAGCAAACTTTATTTTTTTTTCAAGCTTTTTTTCAATAGCTAATGTCTATGTTTAGAACCAAGTAAGATTCTATGGTTAGACTCTTGACTGCCTCCTGGAAGGTGTGAGGACATGCAAAGCCACCTGAAGTGTTACTTGCAGATTGCATACCCTGCTGTGCTTGTCTAAGTACAGGTGCAGAGATTTTTTTTTTTTTTTCTGTGTGCTTTCTGCATCTTGGTCATTTAGAAGAGTTCTCTCTTCAGGAATGTGTGCTTTTGCAGCCACAGTAACTCAGGTCCTTCTTCTGTAACTTTGAAAATGCCATATTTCGTCCATCAAAGGTATTTCAAACCTCTGTTAATATTTCATGTACTTTCTCACCTTCACCTCATATCCACCTTCTGAAACGTGACAATGAAAAAATAAAGAGACAAGAAAGTGAAGATATAGGTGATAGTTTGGGGACTATTGACTCTCAGCTTTCATGCAATACTGTAATTGGTGTTTTCCCTCAAATGCAAAGTGACAGCCATCTGGGAAAATGCCCATTTAAATCACATGATTTATTTTGAAACCAATTAAACCATTTGTAGCAATTGAGCAGGCTCTTACCTTTCTCTTTCTAAAGCATTAAGCAATGACTACTCAAAAAAAGGTAAATGCAGGCGCGGTGGTGCATGGCTGTAATCCTAGTGATTTAGGAGGCTGAGGCAGGAGGAATTGGAGTTCAAAGGCAGCCTCAGCAATTTAGCAAGGCCCTAAGCAACTTAGTGAGACCCTTCCTCTAAATAAAATACAGATAAGGGACAGGTATATGGCTCAGTGGTTATGTGCCCATGGGTTCAATCTCCAGTACCACCCCTCAATAAAAGTTAATTAAAAGTGAAACATAGAGATTAAATATTGACAAAGAATCCAACAATGTTGATTCTTGTTATCAACTTTTGTGCTATGGGTGTCCTATTAAGGAATTTGGAGCCCGACCCTACAATATGTAGATCGGCGCCAACTTTTTCTTCTATCAGACGCAGAGTCTCTGATTTGATATCTAGGTCCTTGATCCATTTTGAGTTAACTTTTGTGCATGGCGAGAGGAGGGGATTCAGTTTCATTTTGTTGCATATGGATTTCCAGTTTTCCCAGCACCATTTGTTGAAGATGCTAT